CTACGACCTAGGGAAAATCAAGGACAAGTCAAAAAGCAACTTTATCAATAAGTCGCACGCCAGTCCATGGTACAGAGTAAGATCTTAAAATATATCTAAAGGAAAAATACTCACAACAACTTTGTGACAGCTTAGCTGTCCTTTATCCTCGACACCAGCTATCATATTATTTTTTATTAGTACTTTATTGGCAGATTGTACACAATGGCGAAGACCAATTCGAATCTAAAAACTAGGAAACGTTATTACAACTCTTTCAAAAAATACTTTTAGCGCACGAAACTACTTGCATTATGTTCTAAAATTCGTCAGCGAACTTTTGACCCTCCGATTTTCTTCGTACAACAAAGGCGACTACAAGCAACACTCTCTAACTCAAGCGCCTCAAGCGGATCTTATCGGGTATTCACAAAAGTTCAAGCGAAAATATCTTGATGATATTTGCACAACTGGCTTAGCAACTGAAATTCCTGAATTGACTGTAAGTCGCATGACGGTGAAATGTATACGATAGCGCATTTGAGGGTCAATATAATGTCCCTGCGGCTCCGACATCTGCAAATAATATCTGCGAATGAAACAGCCAGAATTCGCAAAACTTTGAGATACGCGCTCCATGGCACATGCGATTACGAACATTACTGGCATAGGAATTTCCTCACGCGCAAATGTTAACGGTAAATGTCAGTAATGCAGGGACACCATAAGGCCATACTTATTCGGCTCAACGATTGATCCGGTGCACCAATTCGTATTGGTCACTGTGATTTGACCTTTAGCAGATAAAGTGAAACGGAAACGAATAAGAATGGCAGTGCCACACCTCAAATCTATATTACCATATCCTTGCAATATACAGAAAAGAATGTGATCACCTGTTTCCGAATGATGGCACAAGCGATGATGCCAGCGAACAACATCACACACCAGAAAAGGCAGAACGACATCACAAGAATTCCACCTTCAGAGTTAGCGAAAAGGACAATAAGTAATATAACAATAGAAAGAGTCATCCAGAAGGCCACTAGCCGAGAGTACAGCGATGAAAAACTAAAGAAAAGATAATTTGCAAAAATTCGCAATTCCAAAAATCGGGAGTGGATTTTACTGAAACTTCGTCTAAGGTATTTGTTTGGCACGCTGTAGGCGAATGTCATGCTAATTTTGCAGTGACTTTCTGTTACGCTGATACACTGTGGAGAACATTCCAGATTCTGCGCAGAACTTCGGCTATAGGGGTTTTCAGCCTGCTGGCTACGGATATTGGTCCCGCGCGGCCGCCTTGTCTGGCCTCTGCATCTCTCGCGAGCGTGCTATTTGGACGTCTTCAGGCTTGCTTAACGCTAGAATCACTGGCTTTCCCAAATTAATTGATATTGATGCGCTAAATAACTCGGCTAGAACTTTCAGCAGAATGAAAGATTTTCATATTTTTTGGTCACTATGGGGATTAGCACCATGACTGATGCATGCACAGTAAGTGAAGCGCAGGTATGCCCTAAGGATTTGAAATTCATTCGCGAGCTTCCTGGAAGCGGAGGAGCGATAACGCGCCCCAGAAGCGATTCGCGCTCCAATCGCATGCGTTCTGCAAAGAGTCAAAACTATGGTCACTCCTACACGATTATAATTGACTGGAAAGTTAGCGGGTTTGTGTTGTATGTGATGTGTCATGGCAGAATGTTAGAACTAACGAAATCCCCCATCAATCTCAATTTTTTGGGGCTATTGTACCTATGGCGCATTAACTCTCCAGCGAGAAAGATTTGAAATCGAGATACCCATTCTAACAAAGTAAGAATGAAAAAGCATTTGAAACATAGGCAACAATTAGAATGTCTACCTTCTGAATCGGTAATCATTAGTGATAAGTTCCATGGCAGTCACGTAGTCCTCTGCTGACATCTAGACTGAGAATATCAGAAAGAACCCGAATGTTCACAAAATAGATACTAACCGTCAGACCTTCAGCAGCCAAGATGGATGGAACTGAATATGGATCATAGCGAGGAGGAATGACCCAAGAACACATGGTATTCTCAGGATATATCGTAGCAACAATTTTACTATTCACTGGAAAAAAAGCAAACATTGAGTGATATATATCCAGCTATGTTAGATAAGAAGATGCGTGACCTAAATGTATTCCTCCAGGTGTGAGGATTCCTCGAATAGGATCTACATCTCTTGTCATGATTACAGAGCGCTTCTCATGATACTCTTGTGAAGCGTCAACCACGGGAGCCTGACCAAGAGAAGACGGATCTGAAAAAGACGTTGAAATTAAGGTGAGTCCGCAGATTCAGACAGCCTTCAACAAGGAGAAGCTGAACTCTCACTTATGGGCTGATATAGTAAGATTTTCCTCAAAACATGATTTACAAAGTTCACCTGCGATAACTTCTTTGGTAGGTAGAGGAGTGACAACAGCCCTTTCATTATCTTCCAGCTCCAGCCTCTCCTCCGTGGCAACGCTGTTCCGGCCATCATATGGCTCCACACTTCCGGCACGAGGTGCGGCTTCCGCTGGTCGTCCGGCTACGGGTGAAGTCATGGAAATTTCGTCGAAACCAACCCAACTTGCCGGTCTGCCGTTCGCATGTTCCGCTGAGAGCGGATCCATAGCTTGAGGAAGCTAAGAAAATATACTGTAGTGA